AGATTTTAGATCGTTTGCCTTCACGTCTGTAAATCTCCTACATGTTTTCTATTCATGATTCTGTATAGTATCAATAGTTTCCATTCTTGTACTTGTCTTACCCCTGACTGCAGAAAGATTGGTTCAATTCTCTGCCTCTTACGAAAAAAATCCAAGTCAACCTTATGATGAGTCCCTGAGAGAAGAGAACACACATAGTGCAGAACCATTCCTCCCCACTTGGTTACCTGCTGTAATATAACACCTCATTGCTTGTTCTGTAAATGAATGTGTCTCAAATGAGTTAGCTAACCCAGAAACTGATTACTTTCACATTCAGAAGAACAGAATGATAGTCTGAGTTCCTAAAAGAAGTATAATCTAATAAAAATAAACCTCTGTGAAAGAGGTCAAATCTAATAGTGAATGCTTCTTTCCATGGAGTGATACTTTAAATCTTAATTATCTTTATTATCCAGCCTCAGGGATGGATATGCTGGAACTAAAAGACCACCATAGAGGGCAGTTTCCTCCCCACTGATGAGTGCTAAAGAGCCCCAAGAATATAGGAAATTCACAAAATGTTGTACCAAGAGTAGGAGTATACTAGAAAGTTATGGAAATAGGAACATTTACTCACTTGCCAATGTCATCTTGATCTGCAAACTTCTCATCGTTGAAGCCAAACTGGTCAATAAAATTGGACGTCATTTGTTGCATCTGATAATCAGAAAAGGCCTGGCAACCCCAGGACCAGTGACAGTGATATAATGATTCTAATGACATTCTACATACTACTTGCCCATTTGTGTTAAGAAATCATCTTACTTATAACCATAGAGTTTTCAAAGTTGGTGTGTTTGTGTTAAAAATCAATAATTTCAGACACAATTTGCCAAAAAAAGAGGAAACATTTGAAATTTGGCTGACGAATCATTCTAAAAGTAACCACTCTGTCCTCTGTTGTAGAATTAGGAGGTTTAGGTTAAGTCTATAGTTTGAACAAGTGACATGTAAAAAGTCTGAAATTATAAAGTGTACTAGTCACTTCTGGACACAACCAACTTTATCCTAAGATCCACCAAGTGGTAATCAACCTCCCTCCCTGACATTTCCCCAACCCCCAATCCATTTTAACAAAATAGCACCAGAGGAATAATAACTGATGAACACAATAACAATCTTACAACCATTCTATTCTCTTAAAAGAAGATAAAACTTACAGAGGCTGAGAAGAGTATAAAATGGAAGTAACGTCTACCCTACCTACCTTAAGGAGAAGGCAGAAAATTTTAACGTTCATTTAAAATCACTCTGAGAAGCCTATAGCACGGGAAGCCCCCTTATAACATAGCTAAACAGCACTAGGCTCACTTGTGTTTTCTTAAAAATGGGAAAATGTTAATAATGAACTCCTCAAAAAACTTGATATTATTACTTAAAACAAGCAGGCCCAAGAAAGCAGGTGAAATAAGTGAGTATGCTTGCACATACTAATCAGAAGGAGCAAAGAATACATGAAGACAAAGGAGTGCTAATTCCTCATTCTAGCCAAACAGTAAATGTGGAGACTCAATAACAACGGGTGTGCTGGCCCGAGGAGAAAGCTGTGTACAGAAGGGATCACTATTTAACATCAGTCAGCCCCACGAAGGGCAGGAACAAGAGCTGTTGGCCAAATTAAAGGCATCACACCTGCGGCCACTTACTGGGAAGAACAGCTACAACTGAGTTAACTGACTTCTCCTTGGTTCCACAGATTCTACCCTGCCAGGTACAGTACAGAAATGCCTCTACTCTTAAATTTCTGATGAATCATTTTGGTGGCAGGGAATTATGGCATGGATAATTTGAACTGCAGATAATTTAAAAATAAACCTTATATTTGCCTTTGGAAGATATCTTTTGCTTAGGTATGAAAAAATTTGCACCTAGTCTGGCTAGATAGAGAACCCCAAACCTCACTTTTACTGCATGCGGGACAATGGCACACCTCTGTCCACTCACACATCCATGCTATCTTCTTTCCTGCCCACAGAGATGACTCTACATGAACACCATGGGGTATGTGTCTGTGTGGCATGTGGCTGGCTAAGGGGTGGGCATCCATGATATATCAATCTACAAAGGCAGCTTCACGGGACTGCATTTGGTAAAGTACAGAGTACAAACCAAAGTTGGGTCATGGAAATTTGGCTGAAGAACTGGGATGCTGGGATGAGTTTTAGACAGGTGAACAGAAATGATAGGTAGCCTTCATGCTCATTAAATCAAATAGGAAGAAATCAAGTCCTCTGAACGGTAGCTTTATCTTTTATAAGACAAAACATGAACTGGTTATTTCAAAGATGTGGTAAAGAACCACAAGTCATTCTGCTAGGCAAGGAGCATAAGTCAGGCTCTGAGTTTATCTACAGATTAGGAATTTGGTCACACAAGAAAGAAGGCCTTCTCAACTGTTTTGTTACATTCTTTTCTACAAATTTGTATACCTCTAGTAATCATGATTCTTTTGTTTGTAAAGGAGAAGAAATACTCCTGATGTATTTATATTATAAATGTATATGAAAATATATGTACATATAGAAATACTTAAAATGACATATACGTGTGTGTGTATATATATATATACTTCCATGCAATAATGCAGAGAAAAAAGAAAAACTAAATTATAGTCCTCATTATTTCTAAGTCTACTATAGCTTCTAGGAAGATACAAACTAACAAAGAACTTCATATTCCCAAATTTGATTTTTAATAAAGCTATAAAAGCTTACAGACCCACAGAAATAAAGACTGTTTACTGTATTCTACTGATATTTAAATGTGTATAAAAAAGTGCTTTGAACTCTTAAGAAATCCAAATCTGTGAAGCACCACAAGGCTGCGTAAGTCATTATAAAAAGCACTTCTCAGCACGCTGGCCAAAGTCAGGGACTGTTCAGATCACTGAGAAGCCAACTAATTTATTAAGCAAATCTCTTAATAATGATGCCACTCACACCACAGAAACTACTGGCCAACTCAACTTGACCTCTCAACCAAGCCTGTTTGTACTATGGGGTGCAGGGAGGTGATCATAGCAGTACTGTAGAGCCCATGTGTGGCAGTCTCTACTCTCTAGATATTGCATAGGGGAAGAATTCCTTAACCTCTACACCTGTCTGAGAAACTTAGGGGAGGACAGGGAATAAAACAGAAAGGGCTGGAGACAGAAACACGAAGCAGGGATGCAAACTGTGAGGCACTCTCCACACCAAGTACAACTTCACTGGTGACATAAACTCTTTATACTCACATGCTGATATTTATCAACATGAGGCCAACGTCCAATGTAAATGAGAACCTGAAGCTGATATCCATTCACTAATATTCTGACTATAATGGAGACTACGATGAAAGTCTTAAATTAACCATGTCTTATATTCTTAAATTAAAATAAAAAAACCATTGGAGCTTATTTCTTATTTTCAAAATGAGCTGTGATTCGTTTATAGCTTTAAACATGCCAAGAAGTTTGTCAACCACAAAAGAATAATTATTCTTCCTACTTTAAGAGATCTACATGAAGTGGGTAAAATTAATAAGACTAGGTAGGAGCACTGTGAGGCCTGTCACAGTAAGTCAATATTATGAACAGAATTGTTTCGTATGCACATTAGCAGTCAGTCAAACTGGGAAAAAAAAAAAAAAAAAAAAAAAAAA